TGCATTTCCACTTCTCCAACACCACCCTGGTGACACAGGAGGGCTCTGGGCAGGACCACTGCCCACCCAGCCACAGCACTGGCCCTGCTCCTCAGCACCCTGAGGGGGTTTAAGGGGTTATTTAGAGACAAAAATCTTACAGAACTCTGCAGGGAGGGAGGGGATCCTGCCTGGTTAACAAACTGTGGGAAAAGCATCAGAGTGCCAGCTGGGGAATGGCCTTTGTCTGGAGAAAGGCCTGATGTGCCATGCATGGCACCAATCCTAGTGGTTCCATGTTGGGGAAGGTGAAACAGGAAAGCCTTATAAATATGATTGCCTGGCAAAAGATTGTGAGAATATGGAAACTATAAGGGAGATTGAAATGAAAGCAAGCTTTGAGATCCCTCAGTTACTGAACAACTGGAAAACAATGGCATGGCCAGCTGAAGGTGATCCCCTTTGGATCAAACAATCCCCTCTGCTTGCAGACAGGCCCAAGGGGCAGAGCAGACCCTGCCAGCTTGGCAGCAGGGGCCCAAAGAGGAGTTTTTAGGGTTTAAAATGTAACCCAGTGTGGTAATGTAATGATTCTTATAGGCTGTATGGAAATGCTGTAGGATTTGTATCTTGTACTAGATTGGTTAGTGAGAATGAGAATATTCAGCACAGAAGATTTATTGTATTGTAAGGGGAACCTCACTCTCTTACTCTCTCATCCTCTCTCTCTCTCAGCCTCTTTACCATGCTCTTCCCTTCTCTCTCTTTACCACTCTCCTTACCTCTCTTTCCCTCTTGCTTTTACTCTTTGATCTCTCTCTCTGTCTCTTTCTTTGGGGTTCCTCTTTGGGCCCTGCACCCAGGCCCTTTGCAATAAACCACAAGTTCCCAACCCTGGCTGCAGAGATCTCTTTTCTCTGTCTGTCCTGACCATACTACCCCCGATGCTCCTACAGCTCCCTTATTCCATCACTAGGGGATGGGATGGAAATGCTCCTGGGCTGGTTTGCTGTAAAGACAAATCCCTGCCATGCCCCCAGAGCAGCACAGCCGTGCTCAGGGAACCCACTGAGGCACCAGCTTGTGGCTGGTGGGACGCTGTAAGACCATGGATGTGCTGTTTGGTTCCAATCTGCAACAGGACCCTTCAAGGCTGAGCCCAGCAGGGGCTCTGTCACTGGCTTGAGCAATGTTTCAAACACATCATTTATTTTCATTACACTTGTACCAATATCTCTGTCCCAGCTTTTCTGATGCAGGTAGACAGCAGTCCTCAGGAATGCTTTAATTGTGTTTTCCTGGCTTTGCACAGCTCTTATTTAATGCCTCCTGGCTTCATTAGATTAGACACCTCTTGTCCCGAGGATGTTGTCATGTTTTCAAATGGCTTCAGTCAGCACCTCCCAGGCTCTGGCTATTTCAGGATACAATAAAGCTGAACCTCATCCAGGCTGGTGAGTAATGGAGGTGCATCTCCCACCCCCGTGCAGCCTGGCTTTAAATTTGCCTGCCTGACATCCTGTAGCTGCAGGCAGAACACAATTAAACCTCTTGTCTTTCAGGCATCGTCCACGCTCACACACAGCTCGGGAGGAAGAGCTCAGCAACAGCAACTGGGTTTGTAATGATCTTGTCATCCAGAAGAGCAGAGAGAGATAAATGAAAGAGTGAGGAGACAGCCAAGATCAAAGCCAGCTCTCCAGATGTCCAGGGCATGGCAGGTTGCAGGCTGGCTGTGCTCATCTCCTCAGACCCACGCTGGCACAGGATGCAGGGACGTGTCCTCAGTGCCAGGGAGTGAAATCCAGAGGGAGCAGCCTAAGCCCACCCAGCTTAAAGAAGCCTCCCATACCTGGGGGCTTCTTTCCAGGTTTGACTGCTCATAAACCTCATCCTGCAGAAGTGTTCCTCCTCTTGGGGTCCCAGGATCCCTCACCAGCCTGTGTCCCCACCACCCAGCTGCAAAGTGCCCACAGGCTCAGGAAGGAAACCGAGGTGGGAAGGGACAAACCAGACCCCAGGGTGGGGACAGAGACCCCCAGCTGCTCTCTGGGGGAGAGTGATGGTGATAGTGGAGCCCTCGAAAAAGTTAAAGATAGAATCTAAAATGTTAGGCTTTGTGCTTCCCCAGATCAACTGCACCTGCGTAAGCAGTATGATAAATTATATAATTGTTAGATGTGATGATTGTTTAGTAATTAAATATAATTATTATATAACCATAAGAATAATGAGAAACTATGTTGGAAATTCAGAGAGGGGCTAAATTTATGTATACAATAGAACAATATAAGTTTAATAATTAACATGAAAGTTATATAACAATAGAGTATAAAAACATGATAATTTTGGATGCATGGTCGGAGTCAGATTTGGGTAGAATATACCCCTGGCACCCAGAGCTCTTAATAAAAAGCACCGCATATAATCCCTCTGTGACTATGTGATTTTGAACGCTAACAATGGCTCCAGGACAGTCCCTGCACTGTGTCCCTCCTGCAATCCAGCACACCAATCCCAGGCACTCTCCCCTGGCAGCAGAATTTCCTCAGCCCTATCTTCTTATCATGAGCCACCACAACATCAGCATCGATCCCCTTCACCCCACAGGCAGTATTTTGACTTCTGGAATTCATCTTACCTAGCAAGGGACTCTAAATATATCCCAGACAATTTCCTCTCCTCATTTTTAATAATCTCTTTCAGCCTTAAATTCATTTTTGAAAATATGTATTGGGATGATGGGCTTTTTATCACAGCTGATGGACAATATCCATCACACCTGTGTCCTACAGCTCACAACACACACACACACATTCCTTACAGCACTGCTGCATCAATTTGAACAGCACTTAATTCATTACAGCCCCATCACTGCCTGTGCCTGCTCCCCTCAACAATGGCACTGGTGATTTGTCACTTGGGTCCCTGTAGGCAGCTCTGTCCCACCTTGCAGAGCCACTGTCACTGCCTGAGCCATGGGATGGGGTGGAATAGCTCTGTTCAAGCACAGCAGGTGTAAAGGGCGCTTGTGGAAACCCAGGGCACTGGGAATAGTTCCCTGTCTGCTCTGGGGTGCTTTGATTCCTAGGGGAGCACTGACTTTGACCATCATTTGTGGAGAAAGTTTCCTAAACTCCAGAATAGCCTAAAATCCACTAGGTGTGAAGTAGATTGTAGAGAGCAGTGTAGATGCATCACTGAGGTGGGAAATTGAGGTTTTAGGATTTTTAGTATGTTGAGGATGGAAGCAAAAACCTGAAGAGACTGAAAAGATCCAGTGTCTCTCTTTCCTGACACAAAACCACTCCAGGAGGGCTTTTTCTCCTGGGAGGGCCCAGCCAGAGTCCCAGAAGTTGAGGAATCAGCCACAAGTACCCAACAGCTGCTTCACTGTCCCCACCCTGGAAACCTCCAGAAGGTGGCAGGTGGGAGAGCAGAAGCAAAAATCCCTTTTCTGTCCAGGATCTCTTGTCTCACTGGGCACAGCAGGGCTGAGGCTGCGCTGGCACATCCTCCCAAACCCTGAATCCTGGTGAGACCAGAGGGCAGCCATGGGCACAGCACCAGGGCTGCCTCTCTGAGCCCCCAGCTCAGTCAGGGTCCCCAGGACAGCAGCTCCTCTAGGAAAACTTCAGTAAATTCCCATTTTGCTAGAAATTGGGCAGGACCAATGTGTCTCTCTGGGCCCCCAACTCAGTCAGCTGACTCAGGAAACACAGATTTTTGGTGGAATTACACAGGTCAGGGGAGAGAGCTGCATGTGCTGTCCTGCACCTACAAATCAAGAACTTCTGCATGAAAAATCTGTCTGGAGATGGCTCTAATTTGTTCCAAATCATCATCCCTTGCATCAGCAGGCAGGGAATTGTTATCTGTTTATGTCTTACACTGCCAGCTGGAAGATGTTGAGGATGACAAACCTGGCAGTGCAGCTCTGCCAGGCTGCTGGAGCTGCTGCTCAGGAGCTCAGAGCCAGCACAGGGGATTCACTGATAATTATTTCTCAGATCAATAGTTTTACATTTCCATTAATAATTTGGGCAGAAATGTGGAGCTCTCACAGCACAGCTCAGCACACACCAAGCCCCCCAGGAGGCCCTGAAGGAGGGCTGAGCTCTGGCACAACCAGGGGAAGCAGAAATGCATTTTCCCTGCTAGGCTGCACTTAGCCAGCCCTGGGGAAACAGCCACGTGCTTGTTCCCTCTGCAGCTTCCTCTTTCCTAAGGAAAACTTCTTTTGGAAGAGCTTTGATCTTAAAAATTGCAACTCAAGCTTTTAAATCAGTTAATTGACCAGTTAGAGCTTTTAAATCAGTGTTGATTTAGAAGAATTGTATAGCCAGGCTAAAAATACTAATTATTTTTGTTTTCCTTTTTTAAAGCAGAATCTCAGCTTACACATCCAAAAGCACATCCATTTTTTATTTACAGCTCAACTAATAATGGATGCCTTTAATCAATTAATATGTGCACAGCAGAGCAAGGCAGGTGTAGGTGGAGCTGAGTGGGATATGTTATTGCCACCTGCAGTTAGGACTCAGAATCTGCTCAAACCTCTCAAAGACAGTTTTCCAAATCCATGAGGTCTTCCATACAATAAAATGCTTGCTCTCCAAAAGGAAATTAATGGATAAATGCTGTTCTATAAGCTTTGCCACACCCTGCACCAAAGAGCTCTGATTGCAGTTTATCTCCATTTTAACCATTCTGCAGGCCTGGTTTTGTCAAAAGTGGAACTTTTCAAATACAGAAAAGGTTTCAAAATCTCAACATCCTTGTTTATAGCCCCATAAAGAGGCTTAAAGCAAGGACAGTGTAACAGCTTACCAAGAAACAAGCTTTTTTTCTAGAAAAGAAAATTCAAGACAAAGTTAGAGAGAAGCAGAGTTCTTTATTCTGAACATGGCTCTTAACATGACAACCATCAGGCTTTCTGCCCACTTGTTGATCTGCAAGCCCAAGAGAAGTGTCATGGTTTCAAACCTTAAAGGAAATTATCAATTAATTTTATTTCTCTCCAAAGTTCCATTCATTTTTCTCCCATTACACACCATAGATAAAATAACCAGTTTTTAGCTTCCATTCTGTATAACAATCAAAGGAATATACAAATAAAAACAAGAACTACAGAGGGATGTCTTGCTCACTGACTTCCATCCAGGGGCAATTTTGCCCCATTGCAAGCCTGTGTGAGACAAACCTGAAAGGAAAGAGAAATCCATCAGTACTCAGAGCACCTGCAGCTCCAGCCCAAAGCACAAATCTGTTTTTCAGAGTGACAACAGCTCTTTTCCCCACTCTGTACTGAGCCAGACGTGATGCAAAGTTCCTGCTTCTCCCTTCTTCACCTCAGCCAAAATTCAGGACAAGGGGTCAGGGGGAAATAAGGAGTTTCTATTGCAGCTCAGCAATCCCCCGAGTGGTGGCAGAGGGACAGCACTGCCGTACAGCCATGGCTGACAAAAACACCCAGACTTACTGACAGCTTCTGCATGAGCCCTTGGGCCTTGGGGTTCAGCTGAAGGAAATTCTTCTTGGTCAGATCCTTTTCTGTCAAACGTATGCTCTGTGGAAACAAACACAAAGCTCAGGTTTTCTGTCTGGCCAGCAGAAGACAGTAAAAGAGTTAAATAAAAGAGGTTAAGATCTAAGTATAGACAGGCATAGAATTACATTCAGCTCATCTCACACCTTCCCTGCAGTGCATTAATGCATTAGTGGCTGTGGTGGTTTTAAATAGCTTGATTTGTGGTGAGGGGGGATAAAGCCACTGAGTGAATGATTTTTTTGTGGGTGCACTGGCATTCAGCCATCATCAAACCCACTAAAGCTGCAGTAGTGTCAGTGTAAGTGCTTTAAAGTGAATGCACAATGAAACACCCTCCTGTTGCTTCAACCAGCTTGAGCAGGCCCCACTCCTGGCTAAGAGCCTCCTCAGGTTTGTTCGAAGCTCAATCAACCCCTCAGATAAACTGCAGTGGCACAGCTAAAGAGACAAGAGGGGCTGAAGGGAAGCAGGTGAGGCTCCAAGAGGTGCCTGGGCAGTGAAGGGTCAGGATTTACCTCTCCCCCACCGAGGGGCAGGGTGAGGATGACATCCTCAGGCTCGGCCAGGGGGCTGCCCTTGGCAGAGAAGGTGTAAACACGCTCGTTGATGGCGGGAGTGCGCAGCCCCGGCGTCTTGAACATCCTGAAACAACGAGATAGGAGAGAGGGATGTTTGCTCACAGCACCTGCAGACCAGTAAGAACCTGAATGAGGGATGTGGGACTCCAGACAGCTCCTCAGAATGCAGTTTGTTATACCCAAGGTGTTACAGCAGTCCAGGATTGTGGGCAACAGCTGTGCCGACAGCTGCCAGCTCCAGATGCAGGCAGGCCTGGTGACCCTTAGTTTAGGTTACTTTGCATTCTATACTTTTCTTTTGGTTACAATGCATTCTATACTTTTCTTTTGGTCACATTGCATTCTATACTTTTCTTTGCTGAGCATCTCAATACAGCAGAACCAATCTATACCTTAACTTTTATCTATAGCCTATCATAACTACTATAATTATCATATCCATGTTACTGTTCTCCAATCACTAAAAGTCAGTGCATTACAGTTTAAGCTAGAAGTTGGTTTTCAGTTTTCTTGCAGGGGAAAATTCTGAAACCTTTTTTCTGCTTGCCACATCGGCAGGTTTGTTTGCCTGTGCTATCTTTCTGCTTGGTAAAAACATCTTCTGTTTAAAGTGAGTTTATCCTTTGCTTTAAGCCACAAAAACCCCTTCTAACTAACACACCCTTTGCCTCCTTGGTTATCCAGTAAGAGTGGCTCAGCAATTCTTTTCTTCTACATCAAAACTTGCTTTCATTTCTATTCCTTCTTCAAATTCTACATTCAAAAGTCTTGCTGCTAAGCACACATATCATGAAACTTTCTTATCAAACTTTCATCCTTCCCAACACAGTCCAAGTCTTTCATTTCAGGTCCAAAGAGCCACTAAAGGCTGTGTTATAAACAGATGGTACAAAGCAGATTGGGTTAGAGATAGAAGGGAAATGCATTTGTTTTCCCTGTTAACAAACCTGGGATCAAATCTGGGTGTAACCATGGAGGTGCCTCCCTGAGCACACATATCAACCATTCTGCCAGAAGCTGGAGTGATGAAGCTGTTTTTGCTTGATCTGTAAAAGGGAAATAAATATCTGCACATAACACAACCTCTAACAAGTGTACAGACACTTGGAGAAGGTGACCACCACTAACCCCAGGGGTTATCATTAACCACTGACCCCCAAACTGGGGACAGCTTGTTCTCACAGGACAGCCAGCTGTCCATCCTTCATTCACATAAATTTTGCCCTGTAGTGAGGCACAACTCTCCCCCCCAAACCAAAGCCCATCCCACCAAAGAGAGATATTGATATTTGCACTCTCCATTTCCAGAGAGGAGACAGAGACATCCCCTTTACCTCTTGTTCATGCCCTTCACTCTCGCTGAGGGAGGTCTCCTGGCCACACGTGGTTTTTTGGCGGATGCCTTCACCTGCAGCACACAACACTCACCACATCAGTTGCTCCCATCTCATGGGACAGCTGAGTCCACACAAAGAGGCTTCCACACAAAATGCTCAGTCCCTTTCCATGCACAAGAGCCCAGAGCAAACAGCATTCAAGCCTTTGGGACCCTCCCCACTGCCAGAACTCTCTGGGAAGCACCAGCTGGGTGCAGTCCCCCTCAGGGCGTCCTGGGCAGCCCTAGTCAGCAGCTCGGTCAGGAATTCCTGTGCTGAGGATAATTCCACCCCAGAGAACAGCTATTCACTCACCTTGCCAGTCCTTGCATCCCCACTCTCAGCCTCTGAAGGACACTGGCTGGCAAGTCGAGATCTCTTCTGCTGTGGAAGTGATGGAGGCTCTGCTTCCTCATCACCTTCAACACTCCTTTTGATTCTACTCACTGCAAAGAGAAACTGTTATCTAACTGAATATTAATTTCAAATTATTATTTAGCAGGGAAGACAAACAGCTAGAAGCAGTTTTAGCAACAATTTGCTTCAGAAATCCAAATTCCAAAGCCTAATTGTTGCCAGGGCACTACTTTGGATTATTCTGAATGTTTTAATGAAATTAATTAGAGGTACTGTAGGTACTAGGGATAAAAGTAGAATTTTTTTCCTGGTTTAAGCATACTGATGGATATGAACAAGAATTGAATTATTATTCACATTAAGCAACCACAACATGCTTCCACAATGTTTAAACTCACCCTTCTCAGCAATATCCAACAGGGGATCGACGATATCTGCGCTCAGCCTGCGGATTTTCGTTATTTCTGTGTCTGCCTAAAATTAAAAACACTTGTGGCACCATTGGGATTGTTGGCAGCCAAAAGTTTGTGTAAGTTAAAGTTGCAGAGCAAACCCCCAATAATTTTACAGCCAGATGAGCTCCATGTTTGCTGTTGTGCTCAAACTGGGCCTTTCATGCATCTCTGCCTCCCTCAGGACTCAGTGCCTGGTTGGCAGCTGCAGGTGTGCCTTTCCTACACCCTGCTGCTCAACCAGCTTAGAAATGCTGTGCTTTACCACAAAGTCCCAGGGATTTGGGAGTGCTACCTAGCAGATAAGGAAAGATCAACAGGGAGGAGCAGCATCATGTAAATCACACCGCTGATACAACCTGCCTCTCTTTACTGTTGAATTTTAAAGAAACCTTTGTGAAAATATTGATGTAACTGTTTCACTTGTAATCATCAGTGTGAGGAGCAGAGTGGGATAACTTTGGAGAGCTTTATGTTTGTTCTGAAAACCTACCTTAGCCATGTCCTCCGGTGTGTTTTCACCTCTTGCTAGAGCTAGAAAGAAAATGAATCAGATACATCAGGACATGTCGGGGACACTCACACAGCACAGCAGGGCTGTCACCAGGGGGGTGAAAAACCCAGCACAAACCAGAGAACAGAAGCAGTGGTGTAGTGGGGTCATTTCCTGGGGATTGCAGGCAGGGTAGATCCCATCTCCTCCCTTACACCCATTTATTATCCACAGGGGAAGGGGTCCCTGAACCCAGCACCCCCATCCCCGCTCCGCACCGAAGAACTCCAGCCAGTTCATGTCGCGGATGGCGGCCGGCAGCCGCAGGATGGCCATGTCGTACGCGTGCTCCACTTCTTGCACCATGCGCTCCCCGTCCGCCTCGATCCGCTTCAGCCGCCGCTCCACTGCGGGGAGACGAGACATTAGCCCTGCCCGCGGGCCCGGGGCCTCCCTCCTCTCCTCCTCGCGATCCCCTCACTTCTCCTTCCCCCTGCCCTACCTTCTCTGTCGAAGTCTTGGAGGAACGCCTCCATTTTGCGGCAGCGGGCGCTGGAGTTGCCCTTTTTCTTGGTGGGCGCCATTGGTGGTTTTGTGGTTCTCTCCTCAGCGGATTCTTGTTACGGGTTCCTTACTGCGGGTTCTCTCTTCAGCGGGTTCTTATTGCGGGTTATTTATTGCTTATTGCGGGTTATTTATTGCTTATTGCGGGTTATTTTTTGCGGGTTCTCTCCCCAGCGGTTCCTCCGGGCGGGCTCACTGAGGGCTCCCTCAGCGCTCGCTCCTTCAAACGCAACCGCCGCCCGGGCTGGCCAATGGCGGCGCGGCGCGCTCCGATGACGAGCGGCAGCAGCGCCGGGCGGTAATGGCGGCAATGATGGCGGCGGTGATGGCGGCGCCCGTGGCCGCGCTCCGGGCCTGGTCGGAGGCGGTGGCGCGGGCGGAGACGGCGGCACGGGCGGCTCTGGCAGCCACGTCCCCGCTGTTGGACTCGCTGGCCGCGCTGGCGGCGCAGATGCGGGCGGCGCAGCGGCTGCCATGGGACGCGACGGCGCTGGGCGCCTTCCCGGAGCTGCGGGCGCGGCTGTGGCGGAAGCAGCGCGGCGCGGCCGAGGCGCTGCTGGAGCAGCTCGGCCAGCGGCGGTGAGGAGGCGGCCGGGGCCGGGCGGGCAGGGCTGCCAGGGCCCGCCTGACCCCGCTGTGCCGGCAGGGAGGAGCTGCGGGCCGTGCGGGACGCCGTGGGGGCCGCGGGCAGCGCCGTGCTGCGGCTCGTGGAGGAGCGGGGCCCGGCCGAGCTGGGGCTGGCCGCGGTGCTGAGGCGGGGGCCGCGCTGCCCCTCGCTGGCCGATGTGTTGGAGGGGCTGCAGGACGTGGAACGCTACTACCGGCACCTGTATCCATCCTGCCGGGGGCTCTGGGCGGCACTGGGGGTGTCAGGGTGGTGCTGGGGGGTTTCTTTTGTCCTTGTTGTCCTTAGCAGGCACGAAGGTACTTGGAGATCAAACTGCTCCTGCAGCGCCTCAGCTTGGACAGCCTGGCAGACGTGGAAGCCCTGCCGCAGTCATGGGAGAGGATTTTGGAGCGTTACAAAGAAGATGAGGTTGCTCAAGGTACCTCTGTGTATAAAGAGCTGAGGGGTGATGTTCCCTGGAGACAGGCCTGGCTGTGCTAGCTCTGTGGCAGTGTGTGACCCTGCTCTGAGATCTTGGTCAGCTTCAGGTGAAAACACTCACCATCACACCTGGGCACAGCTGGAAGCAACATCCTCACAGTGTGAGGGCACTGAGCAAGGGCTCCGTGCTCATCAGTTCTACCCACACTTTTTTTAATTGCCTTTAGGACAAGTTTTTGGGATACAGAATACAGGTAAAGCACATTCAGCTGACAGGGTTGTTGTTTTCTCTCTGTCTCAGATACACTCCTGAAGGTCTCACTGTTTGTGGAGAACCATCACGAGGTGAGCTGCTCACCTGGCTCCTGACAGGCAGCAGGGACTGGCACTGCCTAGCTTCTGGAACATTCTGTGATGCTGCAAAGGGGATGAGGAACTGAGGGAGCTCTCCTGGTGCTTTTTGGAAGCTGAATGAGTTGAGTCTTCGCCTCAGCATGAAATGCTTGGACTGTACCATTTTCAAGTGGAAATGGCCTTGGTCTCTGAAGAGGCTGAGCCAAAAAAGCCATGAAGATAGAAGGGAGTCACCTCCAGCTGTGGAACTTGTCCTTTCCTCCTTCTGCCATGCCTGTTTTGTGTCATGGCAAAAATGTTCATACTTACATGAGGTGCTGCAGGTGTGTGAGTGTAACAGAGTCCTTCAGGCTGCAGCCATGAAAGATATTTGTCCTTACAAATAAAGAAAACTTGTCAGATTAGAGTTTAGAAACAGTGCTCACCTCGTGTCTTTGAGCAGTGTGTTTGCACTCATCCCACCTGGGCATGGAGGAGCAAGGAAGCAAATCTGAATTCACTCTTAAAATTTCACTGTCTGGTAGCCACTGCTGACAGTTCAGGGACAGATTTTGGTGGCCATGGCACTGATCCTCGGAAGGTTCCCAGGAATCTGTGGGGTGTTTGTCTCCCAGCTGTGTATTTGGTGAGGAGCTGCAGGGTGACATTTTCTGGGGTCCCCTGTGGCAGGAAAGAATGAATCTGATTTAATGTTCTTACAAGGCGTATAATATATGATATGATATAATATAATGTGATATAATATAGTATAGTATAATATAATATAATATGCTATAGTAAAGGATAGAGAAAGCGTTTTAATTAATATCTTGTTAAGCCTTCTGTAAGTATCCTATCTCTAGAGTCATGACACAGCCAGACTGTGATTGGTAAAGTAAAAACAATTCACATGTGTGTGAACTGTGATTAAGTAAAAACAATTCACATGTTGGGTAAACAATCTCTAACCACGTTCCAAAGCAGCAAAACACAAGAGAAACAAATGAAATTATATTATTTTCCTTTTTCTCTGAGGCTTCTCAGCTTCCCAGGAGAAAAAATCCTGGTGAAGAGATTTTTAAAAATTTAACAATAACACTGCAGCTTTTTGTAGAAAGTCAATAAAGAATTGCATGGGGCAGGTTGTGGGTGTGATGTTTGTGCTCAGGTTTCTGTGTCCCCAACCTGGTCCTCGTGGCCACCTGAGGGCACTGCATGACCCATGACCACTGAGGGGAGCAGATCAGGGTGCTGGGGGTGCCAAGGGTGGGAAAGGGCTGGCTCAGGGCTAGGGCTGCCAGTGCTCCCATCAGGGACAGGGGATCACGAGTTCTAGCTGCAGTTCTTCACACACAGAGTTGTAATTGCAAAGAAAAGCAGCTGCAAATAAAACCCTCTCCTGGTGCTGGATGCCCTGCCTGTGGTATTCACATCCTCTGAAAAAATTCCTTCACCCAGGGTCTTCTCCTGGGAAGCTGAAAGGCAGTGAGAAACCTCAGAGAAAAAGGAAAACAATTCTTATCTCATTTGCTTCTCCTGTGTTGTGCTCATGTGGAATGAGTTCTCCTGTGTTTGGAGATTGTTTTCCCACAGGTGATTGTTCCATTGCATTCTGCTGTGAGTTGTTTTCACTCTTTGGCCAATTGGTGCCAAGCTGCTTTGGGACTCTGGAAAGAGTCTCAAGTTTTCATTATTATCATTTTAGCATTTAGTTAGTATCCTTTTTGTATTCTTTAGTATAGCATTCTTTAATATATAATATAATTATATATTATATAATAAATATAATTATATAATATATAATAATACAATATAATAAAATAATAAATTTGCCTTCTGACAGCATAGAGTCAGATGAATTGTTCTTCCCTGTCACAGGGCTCACTGTGATTTACAATCCCCTGCCCAGGGTGGAGGTGAGGTGGGTTCTGCTCCTGGTGGAGGCTCACATGCCTGTGTAGCCTTGGCTCCTTACACAGGGTTTGGAGCATGGCTGGTGGCTCAGGGTGAATCAAGGGTGTCATCCTCACAAACCAGATGGTGAGCTTGGATGCAGAATTGTCCTTGCATGTGTACAACCCTTCAACACCCCTCTCCTGTCAGCCTCTCTTCAGGACAGCTGCCAGTGAACAAATGGATTTAAATTCAGGGAGATGTCCAGCACAGTTCAGTGGTGGCCCTTCTGCTTCTCCCAGATGTTTGGCCCCTGATGTCTGTCTTTGTGCTAACAAAGTGCTGAGGGAGCTTTCTGCATTGAAAGTGGCCATGCCCTGACTCTGTCTGACTGAAATGGGGTGAGTGAGGTGCTCATTGAAGTTCTGGTGTGATTAATTGCTCTGTGCTGTTCCTGCTTCCTGGGCTGTGTCACCAGCTGCATTTGCCTGCAGCTCTCTGTGGGGTGTGAGTGAATTTCTGCATCAGAGCACTCTAATTGGGATCAGCTGTGGGTTGTTCCACTGCAGATCTGCATTTTCTGTCAGGATGGCTGCCAGAGGCCCCAGAGCTGAGGAGGACATGGTTCCTTGTGTGTGCAGAGCTCCCTTCAGCCTGGGAGTCGCTGTGAGCAGAGCAGGGTGGGCATTCAGCCTGTCAGTGCCACACAGGTCCTCAGGCAGGTGCAAAGGCCACTCCTTGCCATCACCCTGCCTGTCAGGGTGATGCTTTTTCCTTGATCCTAAAGTTAAGAGCCAGACACAGTTAAGGGATAAAGGATTTTTACCTTGTAATTTAATTATGATCCTTACGGTGCAACACTTCATCAAGGTGGAATGTGCTGAAATGTACACCTGAGAGATTGTGTGTACAATTTAATAGATTTTACAAATTAGTATATCTAATAAAGATGCTTCAATGAGACTCTTGAATGAGTGTGACATTTTCTCATCTCAAAGTATTCCCTTTTGGATGGGCTTAATCTTAGTTTATAAGATATATTTTAGATGGGACCTTGGATTTTCAAGATAGTGTAGGGCTTTCCAGCTTTCATCCACAAAGCCTTTAGGATGTTTGATCTTCTAGTCTGACAGAATACCAGCACTATATTAAGTTTACCAGAACTATATTAAATTATCAGACTTCAAGAATTACAAGTATGTATTCTAAGAGCACTGAGAATACATGAAAGATACAGAAAAGATCTATAAAAGATATATAAAATGCAAAAATTCATCATGGCATCATCCAGCCTGTGCTGTGTCTTAGTGAGGCTATGGGTAAGGCAGCACTAAGGGCTCTGAGATCAACTGGTAAAATATATGTAACCATAAAAATAAATCCAAGTACCTTTATTTTTGGAGTAGAGCTCTTAAAAGTATCCCTGCACGGAGATCTGTCTTTGAGGAATGCAATAAAATGCAGTTAGCAGCTGGAGCTACCTTGTTAAAGGAAAATTGTCAGGAAACACAAAGCTCACACTTTGATTTTCAGCTTTGCCTCCTGCTAACTCCATTGGAAAACAGTTATTCTTCACTTACAGGAAAAGCACAAACTCAATTCAGCTATTAAATTCAAATGCCCACAAACATTTACAAGAGCACCTGACTTGTGTATGGTTGGGTTTTTTCCTCCCATAGGGGTGGGCACTGCTGGTGCAGTTCTGCTTAGAAATGGGGACCTGCTCTTGGTAACACCAGATTTCCAAAACAAACCCAAAAGCTTTGCTTCAGCCTAAGCTCATGGATTTGAAACAGATTTCAAACATGAGTGTATTACAAGAGCCCACAGTTATGGAAAAGACAAAGGATTTGGCACCTGAACTGAAGTGCAAAGTGGCTCAGAGGCAGAAATATGTAATAAAAAGCTTTGTGATTAATTTAATAAACCAAGTATGGGCTTCACAAGTCCCTGTGGTTTTTGAGCTTATTCTTTGAGACTTTCGTCTTGGCCTGAAGCAGAACTCCTCTGTGACTTTGCTGAGGGGCTGCCTGAGTACTTATTTGCTCTGAAACACAGCAAATATTCTCCACAACCTGTTAGCTGACTTTTTACTGTTCCCCAGTCCTGGCTCAGTGTTTCTCTAGTGCCTGTGACTTTGTCACAGCTTTTGCCCTGTTGAGCTCCAAGGAGGGGCAGGTTCTGCTGATCTGATGGGTGTGCAGTGAGTGGGGGAATGGTTCTGTGCTGTTGGCACCCCAGGTCCAGGAGTGGGGATGTGCTGGAAGGATGAACCTGCCTTGTTGCCCTGTTCTTCCACCACCTCCCCAGCTACCAGTGCCTCCCCACACACCAGAACATACAGAAATATTAATCATCTATTTGATTTCCCAAAAAAGCACCCTGAGATTGGGTTCCCCTCTGTCCCCCAGCATGCCACAGCTGCCTCTTCACTGATGGCTCCCTGTGTCACCATGATATTTTATGAAAAATCTTTTTGCTAGGATCTTTTCTCCTGAGAAGCTGAGAGGCCTCAGAAATGAAATGTAAACAATGATTATCTGCTGCTGTGGAATGCAACAGGTGCATTGTGATTGGTCTCATCACAATGTGGTTGTTTTTAATTAATGGCCAATCACATCCAGCTGTCTCAGACTCTCTGGTCAGTCACAAGATTTTATTATCATTCCTTTCCTTCCTTTGCTAGCCTTGTGATGAAATCCTTCTATTCTTTTAGTATAGTTTTAATATATAATTTTCTTTTAGTATAATAAAATAATAAATCAACCTTCTGAAACACAGAGTCAAGATTCTCACCTCTTCCCTCATCATGGGGACCCTCAAACACGCCCACACTCCCTGTTCTCCCTGGTCCTTCTCTCCACAGCCCAGACAGTCTCTAGGCTGCCTAGGGAAAGCAGAATGAAGAACATCAAGCCAGTAAGTCTCCTAACCATTCTGCTATGTGAGGAATGAATCCAAGAGCCTTTGCACACTATTAATCTTTTCCAGTTCCTAAGAAAGCAAATGATCTCCTCCTGCTCCCATAAATCCAACCTCTCTCTCCAGCTTCTCCCCTGGTGTTTGAACTGCTCGCCAAGAGCTTTATTAAAACCTACAAGATGCAGTTTTGTTCCTCACTGAATCCTAAACAACTGTGCTAGATGGAGAAGAAACATTTGGTGCTGTCAGCTTTAGAGCATTTTTGTGTGTAGTCCATGGCCACTTGTCAGCCTCAGCCCCACTCTGAGCCCAACAGAACCTTTGCTCTGCTCCCCTGAGGTTGGGAGATAAATTCAAGCTGGCCAAACCTCACGGCCTCATGTCCCAAAGCACCTGGCACTGATCCCTATGGGGGCAGCAGGAGGGATGGGTGCAGAGTGCTCCTGTGGCACCCTGCCCTCCTGTGCCAGTATCTGCAGCTTGCCAGTGGCCTTGGGGACATTGCTGGGCAGCTGTCACACCCTGGCACCTCCTCTCCTGCTCTGAGTGTGAGGCTTCCTACAAACCCAGTGTGTGTCCCCTTGGCATGACCCAGCCAGTGCCACCGTGGGGGTGTGGGGCACCAGGGGATGGTGCCCAGGTGTTGGGGTGAGCAGAGAAGCTGCAGGTGGTGTGGGGCAGCAGGGGACGGTCTGTCAGAACCCAGGACATTCCTCTGGTTCCCTGGGTGACTCCAGACCCTGGCAA